CAGCTGACCCAGTGCATTGTGATTGGCCGAACACCACAAGCACGCGTCGGAAATGTAACGCCCCTTACCATAATCGCGAGCTTCAGCTTTCAAAGGAGATATCAAGACAGTTAATAATGTCGTTAGTTTTACCATCAGTTCAAGCCCAAGTTCAACAGAGTCGTGTGACAGACACAGTGATGATGCAGTACACAAGCCGCGGTTAAGACAGTTTGCCTTTAAATTACATTATATTTGTCTCGAATTGTTGTTAATGTACATAATGAATTGTGTATTGTGCATTTTCAGCAAAACGTTTGTCTTTCTGTGGCTCTAATAAAGTCTGTGTGCTTCATTTATAGAGCTATAATATAGGTTGCGCTTTCTCTTTCCGTTTGCTCCGTTTTTTAAACACCGAACTTCAAACTCATCCATGCCAAATTGTTCATTCTTGAAGTAAACTTGTGTCCGTTTGGTGATTAAATAAACTGTTTTAGACCGCTGCTCGAGTTGAACGCGACGCGTCCGGAGTGTGTGTGATACCGGTGAGTTCTCCTAGACTCAGCGCTGCGCTTTTATTTTGATTAGATAATCATCAAGTGTTCAAGAATAGAAGCAGTTAAAGTGTGAGAGTATACATACAATATCCATATGTATATAATTTTAATGCTATAGCCTTTGTGTATATATTTAAAGATGTGCATCAAAATGTAAATTCTTTCATCAGTAACTCAACCTCATGTCATTCGAAACCCATAAGGCTTTCATTCATCCTCCAAACACAAATTAAAGTTCATAAAGTTCATAAAGACATAGTAAAAGTAATCTATATGAATTGAGCTGTTTAATCCAAGTCCAACGAAATTATCGCTTCATATAATAAACAGATTTAATTTAGTCTTTTTATTCACATGGAAGGCCAAACAAAGTAGTTTCGCTTTCACAACGAAACCCATGGCGGGCTAGAGTGAGCGGAGGGTGGCGGCCTAGATTGAGCGGAGGCCGGCTTGAGTGAGCGGCGGCGGGCGGGATTGAGTGAGCGGAGGCGGGCGGGCTTGAGAACGGCGCCGTCGGCGGATTCGACGAAGGAGCGGCCGGCGGGCTTGCGGCAACCACATGTGACGACCCGCACCAAGAGCTTGTAACACTCCAAAGAGAAAGGACAAATTGAAATCATTTGACCCCTTTAAGAAAATGATGTCTCTCCAGCTCATGTTCTCGTCTCGTTTCAGGCTCGTTCGCTCACTCTCCTTTTATAAATATTCACAGGCTTGCATTCACAGACCCCAAAGTGTGAATCCGCGAATTCACTCGACACTCCAGTGAGTAGTAAGGTTTGATCCCTCTTTCACTCGCCTTTTTCACTCGTACTCTCACCTTCTAATTTCTCTCTCTCACTTGACTTTCTTTAGTGTGGCGTCTCCTTTGGATTCCCACTCTATCCGGATGTTTGCCTGCAGACTGCATCACGTTTTTTCCCTTCGTATAATTCTCTTCATCGCATCGTTAAAGACTCCTCTTTATCTTCCTCGCATCATTTTTCACATTTGTGTGAGAAACGCAATTTTTGCAGTGTAATCTCAACCTCATTTTCTTAATCAGTATTTTTGTCTTTTGTATTTTTTATTTAAAAAATTTCTAATAATTCTTGGAAGATAAATTGACTTGTTAAAACTTGTTTTTGAAGAATTTATATTGAATTCTATTTTATTTTTCTCATCCAATTTGAATGAATAAATCTAATAAATATGTAGTGAGGTGTATGCTAAATACAAGAAGAAAAATTATAATAGCATAAGAAAATCATTGAATATTCAATATGTATTCTCTTAAGACAAGAAATGCTGATTAGGATTTTTTTAAAATTTTTGTTCACATTCCAGCAAAAACAACACAACCGTTAAAAAGTTTGGGGTCAGTAAGATTTTTATGCTCACCAAAGATGCATTTATTTGATCAAAAATACAAATAAAACCAATATTATCTGTAATATTATTACAATTTAAAATAACTGTCTTCTCTTTGAATATATTTGAAAATTTAATTTATTCTTGTGTTGTAAAACTGAATTTTCAGCATCAGTACTCCAGTCTTCAGTGTCACAGAAATCATTCTAATATGCTGATTTCCTACTCAAGAAACATTTATTATTATTATCAATCTTGAAAACAGTTGTGCTGCTTCATATTTTTGTGGAAAATATATATTTTTTTCAGGATTATTTAATGAATAGTAATTTCAAAAGAACAGCATTTATTTGAAATATAAATCTTATGTAACATTATAAATGTATTTACTGTCACATCTTTACTGAATAAAAATATAAATGTATTTCAAAAAAACAACAAAACAAAAAACATACTGACCCCAAACTTTTGAACTGTAGTGAGTATTGTGATGCATATTGTTAATGTAGTATATAATTACTTGTACACTAAAATTATGTTCACACTGCCCACCCCTGGTTGAGATCTACTTTAGACAGCTTGACGCTTGTAGATAAGGGATACGTTGAAACTGTATTTGTTTAGCATTTGCATTGGCAGCTTTTAATACCATTTGAGCCTTGAGTGATTTTAAACAGGCTGCTGTTAGCTGATTGTTAACGTTTAGTGCGACATGGCTGCGGTTTCACTGGGGCTGCAAATGAAAGGATGAAGCAGTACTGCACATCACTGAAATCCAGCACTGGGCCCAATACCGAGCCCTGTGGGACACCGTAATGGCTGCATGTACCGCAGATTTCATATTGTTGCACTGCTGGAGCTAATGGGGCGGCGTTTGGGTGAATGCTTGAATCTCACATTACTCACAATCTGCGCCTCTAATGGCTCTTCAACATTTTAAATAGTTTTCACTGCTAAAACAAGCTCTTGGCAGGTCCTTGATTAGGGCATCAGCGGACTTGCAATGATTTTCTGCGTTGTTGTTTTTTATGGAAATATTGATATCTAAAACCATGCTTACACTGAGTGAGACAAAGGGTCAGCTCACTTAAAAGTTCAGTTCAAGAAGTTTAACCCGTTTATTCTAATTTAACCAGATGCTGGTTAAACCGCTACGTCATGTGTATTTAAATGAAGGTGTCATCAGAACTGACCTGGAAAAGGTGGAATCGCATCATTCAAGTTGCATTTTGCACTTTTTTTAATGTGTTTGTACCGTAACTGATTTGCATAATTTCTTTTAGTGAATTGGGTGCAAAAACAACGCATATAAGTGTGTTCTTAGCAAATCCCTCGCCTAAATATTTAAAGAGTCATATTCCTCTTGCTCTATTCATTCTCCATTGTTGCGAGATGTGTTGACGCTCTGGGAATGACTTGCAGACAGATGTGGTCTAGCTTTGCTCCTTGTTGACAGACTCCCGCTGGTTTTGGCTCCGATACCAGTGTGGGAATCGTCACATCCAACACCTGTTCCTCTGCTAAGCACCTTCTTGTCTTCCTGAATGATTTGCTCTCTCAGGGAAATTTCTGCGAGGCTTTATCTGTTTTCTTCCTTGTCACTTTCTCTCTCCCTCAATCTCTCCTTCTCCGCTTAAGCTCATTAAATGTTTCCGAGAGAATAGGAAATCAATGGCGCATACGGTGTGTGAGAACTTTTTTCTTGATTTGTTTTACCCTGTATTTATCTGTTTTCACATATCGCTCTCTTTCCTTCATTTCTCTCATTGTTTGGCAAGATAAATTTACTTGAGAAGCAAAATTGCGGAAGATATTGAAGGGGTAGTTCACTGAAAAATTATTAGGGTGAGTAAATAATGTCAGAATATTCATTTTTAGGTGAACGATCCAATTTTTGCAAGCAAGTTTATGCTTAAAATGAGTTTGCCATTGGGGTAAGACAAACTAAACCAATTTTAAGAGAGTATATCTTGAATTAAATCTTAATATCCAATGCAATCTTGCTTCTCAAGTAAATTTACCTTGATGTTTAGACATTTGTACCGGAAAGCAAGACAAATACTGATTAAGAAATGTATTTTTTTTCAGATTTTCCCACTCATCTTCCTCTGGGGCGGCAGACTGTAAGGTAGGAATATGGTGGTTTTCAGATGTGCTCTTTATCTTATTGGCAGATGAGCCATGGCTTGGTGGCCTGTCCGGTGTTTCTAGTTGAAATGGCTATGCAGCACTTGGTTAGGTTCCAGCACGACCTTTATTCATCCTGACACACATCAGGCTTCTGGATCGCAGCGGGAAGAGCTGCTGGAAGGAAAACGAGAATGTGTCTGATCGCTTCAAATGTTTATCGTTTCCCCCCTCTCATTCAATCATCCTTACTGGCTCTCTCAGCGCGGAGCTGTGGGTTTGATTAGTCAGCCTAGTGGAGGTTGACAGCATGCTAAACTGCCTTTCTAAAGTGACTTAAATCAGGTTTCTTCCTTAAGATGACCCTATTTGCTTTCTTTTTAGTTCATGTCTTTGGTCTTGTTGTACATTATTTATCAGGTTCTCTGATTTCTAAACTAGAAATGACCATATCAGCCTCTGAAATGGCTTTTTTTTTCCATTGACATGAATCAAACTTGCACATGTGGGGAAAATAATCTTAATCTCAAAACCTTGAATTCCAAGAGCCAATCAAATCTTATGTGGGCGGGGCTTGGTTTAGTTAATGATTTATTACTGGGTATTATGATTTACCCGGAAATATGCCGCACATTAGGGTTGTCAAAAAAAATTCTAATTTCGAATATTCGTCGAATTTAAAATAAAAATCCACATTCGAATGCAAAAACGTTGCATTCGAATTTTAGGTGTGTGTTAAGGAGGCAGCCTTATCAGTGGTGCACGAGATGCGATGACGATGTAAGCTTCGTTGCATTATAATGTTTTTGTTAACCTATCCAGTTGAAGCCACTAGATGCGGCGCTGCTGCGTTGTTAATTAGAAATATTGCGGGAAAAGAGAACATCAATGTGGAGAAGATCTTGTGTACGTCACAACTAAAACCAAGCTGTTCAAACAGAACGCATATTTTGCGCATTTTCTAGAGGGACATCCATCACCGTTGCACTCGCGTCTCTCACAAAAGAGCCACATGTTTAGAAAGCCATGTAAAATTAATGCTAGTTCAACTTTGAAAAAACATATCTCGAGACTTTATGGCGGGGTTTTTTCCCCC